CCATTCAATGTACATACCAATAATGATGTAGAACATGTTTATGTCATAAATAGAAGATAATATATAGCAATGCTAGTAATTGGCCTAATATTTACTGTTTCCCCCCCTTTCTGCCTTTATTGCACTTATAAATGGTGATTTCCAGCTTTAGAGAGAGGGGAAAAAACTAAGAATCTCATAGCTCATGGGAAAATGATGAGTTGAGGATCATTGAGTTGTTTTTAGTAATAAGCATGCTTATCCTCTCTTAAAAACTACAGCCTTTTTTCTGAGACCAAATCAAGTCTTTCTATATATGTATGTTTAAGGTACATTTAAGATGTTTCCTGATAACACAAATGCTCAAGAGGAATAAGCAGGAGTTGATGGAGGAAATCTTAATTTGCATTTGTCCTGCCTTAAATGCCTAAAATATCCTGAGTATAATGTTGCATGGATAAGGCTTTTAGTGTTTAATGTGATATGACTTAAACGTTCTCTTTTTGCTAGGGTCTACAAAACATTTGCTACTAATGGCCGTTATTTTTCATTTTTATCTACCAAATTTACTAAGGAAAGAAATATGCCAAGGCATTTTATTAGTCTGCTCACATCTTTGCTATTATCTGGCACTAAATTTTACTCTTCTCAAACCTTGAATAGTCCATTTGGAAAGGGACAGTAGGTGATCCATCTACACAGGCTGCTGTACATTCTGTAGGGCTTCCTACTTGCCAACCTGATTCTCTTACTATGCCTTTTGATTCTCCTAATGATCCTCCTGAGGTCGATGAGATAATGTTCCTGCAACCATCAGAGATGCTCAAACTGAAACTGTTAAAAGTACATCTTCCCTAATTTCACACAGTAAAACTTCACTATAGCACCATAAGTGAAGTCTGTGTCATTTAACCAGCAAAATACAATTTTCTATTGTTTTGAAGTTTAAAAAATTATTCAGATAAATATATGCAGTTGGGTCTGCACAGGAAGTCCAGGGCCAGCTGCCATTTACCACCAGCTTCTGCCCATACCAGTTTAAATCCCGAAGGCCCATAAACCAGCCATAAGGTAACTTGCGTGAAGAGGATGGCAATAGACAATAAGAGGAAGAATAGCATACAATGAAGGAATCAGAAGATGATACTGAGAGAAGTTCAAGCGTTAAAGGGCAAAGAGGTAAATACTGTTACATACACAATCCTGCAGTTAGTTATCTAGGAGTAGAGGCATTGGTAAACACACAGCCTCCATAGGTATGAGCGGGAGAGTAAGAGCAAATATACCCATGAATATGGTGAAGCATACAAAGGACAAAGTTATGAAAACTCTTTGGACATAACCAAACATCTAGAAGGAATGATGAGCTGGGTGTGGGGGTCCAGGACCATGACCTCAGGGCATCCCAATATCAGTTGGCGTAACATAATCCAGAAAGTGAATGTTCTATGACCTACTTTAGTAAGTAGTGGCTATGGTCTTAAAAATGTCATGAGCAACCATGTAAGGTACAACTGCTGGACTCTGTCTGGAGAAAAGAAGAGATAAGAAATTGAAGACACATGGAAGTAATGAGTGTAATAGACCATGAGAACATCATTCTTCAAGACTCTGAGACTAGAAGAACTAGATAGTGCCTGACCCCCACACCAACAACTCTGAAAAGATAGAGGCGGCAGGGGGAGGCTGGTGGAGGTTGTGGGTCAATATTCAAAATTATCAAAAAGGCTTACTAATCAGATAGACACTGGTGGAACTCCCAAGACAATGGTCCTTAGTTACCTTTTTGGTTTGGAATTAAACGCACCGCAAACCAAACTCATGGATATGGAGTCAATGGTGACTCCTAGCTACCCTATAGGACAGAATAGAACTGTCCTTTTGAACTTCCGAGGCAATACATCTTTACAGGAGCAGCAAGCCTCCTCTTTCTCCCGAGGAGCACCTAGTTGGTTCAAACTGCTGACCTTGTGGTTAGCAGCCCAATGCACAGCCCACATATCACCAGGGCTCCTTGAACTAACTCCCATGACTCAATTTTCAATCAAACAACCGATAGATCTGTAAGGAGAAGATTAACACTACTAAAGTATGCATTCTGTAGGATAACAAACCATTTGGAATCAAGATGGCATCATTAGCCCAAGGGCAAAGTTCAGAAGGGTAGAGAATGAAGAGGAAATGGCAGCGGGAAGCACAACGAGGAAGTGGAATAGATTTTGTTACATTGTAGCAATTGTAATCAATGGCATGAAACATGATGTTTATGTATTGTTAGAGGAACAATTGATTTCCTCGAAATCATTCCTGAGTTGGCTGAGGCGTCTTAGATAGGGTGTAAGATCCTAGGAATGTTGCAGTTAATTGAGGCCTGTTGAGGCTGTCCCAGAGAGACTGAACAGGGGAATGCCGGGCACATGGAGACTGCGCCTAGCAACATAAGATTTCCTATCATTTCCTCAACTGGTCTTCTCCTCTTCATCAGCATTTCAGCTCCTACATGAGACAAGAACTTTATCACCTACTCCTCATGGAGGCTGCATAGAGTATGGAAACAATTTCCAGTCTGATCATATCCAAATCATTGAGGTGTTTTCTTTCTGTATTTGTAGAGTCAGACAGGCAGTTAAGTTCCTCATATTATGCAATCATCACACCACCCATTTCCAAAGTATCCCACCACTTTAACAGTAATGGAATGCTCCCTGAGCCGAGTCACTCCCTCCTTCCTTCTGCCCACCCTGATTCTATGTACATTTACCTATTTCACATAAGTGGGACCATACTATTTTTCCTCCTGTGATTGCCTTACTTTTTAAGGTTCATCCATGTTCTAGTCTGTGTAAGGATTTCATTTTATGGCTGAGTAATATTCCATTCTAGGCTCATACCACATTTTGCATATCCATTCATCTGTTGATGGCGTCCTCCGTTGTTTCACTTTGTTGGCTAAGGTGAACTCTGCTGTACAGGTTCCTAGTTCCATTAATACTTGCAATTTTTTTCTGGATACACAAGGGGGCTTCAAAAATTTCAGATAAAATTGAGCTAAAACATAGCAGAATTTTTCCACAAACATTTTAAAGCTCCATCTTCCATCTAGTTTGCTGGGTTGTATGGTACTTCTATGCTAAACTTTTTTGGTGAAAAATCAACTATTTTTCCATAGCAGCTGTACCATTTTACATTCCCATCAGTAATGAATGAGAGTTCTAATTTCTCCACATCCTTGCCAACATCTGTTAATTTCCTTTTTTTATATCATAAATATTATATTGTGGATAAAGTGGCATCTTGTCGATTTTTAAAAAATAATATTTTATTGTGTTTTGGGGTCAAAGTTTAGGTAGGCTCCCCTTTGATAATTTTGACACAAATTTTTCACATATCATCAACAATCTCAATGTGTTCTGGTTGTTCTGTGTCCTGCACGGTAGCTTCCCTGGCCCCTTAGCTTCTCATTTTTGCTTTGGACCAAGTATTGACCTATTGGACTCATAGAGATGGCTTTTTTTTACTCATCGGAGGGAACAGTTTTGAATTAAGGTTGAAAGAGTCGCAGGGTGATGGTGACAGGGATTCTCTGTTCACAAATGGTCCCCTTTGTCGGTCTGGGCGAGTTTAGATAAGGAACATATTCTTAGGAATTTGTCTCTTGCTACTTGTGCTTCTGGTGTCAAAAAGTACGTCTTAAAACCACACCTCTATGTTTTCCTAAGGGTTGTGTGGTTTCGGTTCTCACATTTAAGCCTTTGTTTCCGGTAGAGTTAATTTTTGTATATGATCTAAGTGTGGCTCCTAACTGCATTCTTTTGCTTGTGGAAACACTATTGATAAAGTAAGTTATTCCTTGCCATTTAATAGACTTACCATCCTTATTGAAAAATCAATTGATTATAGATGTGTGGGCTATTTAATTTATTTTTCATTTAAAAAATAACATTAAAGGAAAGTTAGAGGTTTTCACATTCATCCAAAGTGGACATGAGTTTTCAGTGTGGAGAAAAACAGAGGCAGGGCAGAGTAGATGTCCCCCAAGCCTAATATAAAAGTGCTTCATGCAATCAGGCATTGAGGTGACTACTGAATTGCCTGTTTGCTAAGGCAAAAGTGGAGTGTTTGATTTCAGAGTTTAGGATTCTCAGATAAACTCCAAGAAGGGCAATTTCATTTGAACTTCAGATAAACATTTTTAGTATAAATATGTCCCAAATGTTGCCCACAACATGCTTATATTGAATTTTTCTTTCCTTCCTTTACCTGCAATTCAAATGTAACTGGCATCTTACATTATTTGCTAAACCTGGTAACAAATTTCCAAACTCATCATGTTAGATAAACTTCTTCTAGAAAGATTAGCCACCAGAATACATTAATAAAAGGACCAAGAAGGGAACTGAACTGACAGCGTTTTTTTCCTGTGATTTTTGCACAAGCCATAGAAATGGGGATCAACTGCATCCTATTTGTGACAACACGGGTTGTAAGAGAGCTTCAGAAAGGCCGTGAATCTCCAGAAATCTTGGTCAAAATGAATATATGTGCATGGCTGTGGGGAAAGGAATCACAATTAGATTCTCAGAAGGTGTTTTACACCCCTGAAAAGGTCAGAAAGCATTACCTTACTGTTTGAGGGCCTATCTTTTAACTCAAGGAAGACATTTTTACTAGGGGCTTGAATGCCATCATTTTTTCAGGCAATTGACTTTTTGATCATCTGACCTAAAACAGAGAGAAAATCTCAGAAAAGTTGAGTGGAAAGTTTACGGGTCCATTGAAGCATAGCTCTCGAATGTATGAGATGCCAGGAGTTTCACACCTTTCACAGGAGGTGAGCCAGAATCAGATCATAAGTCATGTTGATTATGTGAGGATGGTTGACATTAATAGGCATCTGCTATTAGACTCTAATTGCATAATATAGATGGGGGAGAGAGCAAATAATGCCTATACAACGGATAAGCTTACCTGAAGAAAGCAAATTACCCATTCTAATAATCACTACTCAATTTTTTCTTTAGAGATCCTTCCTCAGTTTACCAACAGCTCTTTCTGATGAACTCAACTGGCCCCATCTCTCTGGAGCTACAGGATTTTTGGACTCTACGACTCGGTATGTGCATTTGCAAACCTTCAAGCGTTTTAATATGTCTGAAAGAATAGGAGCTGGGACTGATTACCAACATGTTGAAATGAGAATTATTAAAAAATTTTCTAGAACATGAACAACCCGCATCACTGACATAGAATTTGTCACACTGTGGATTGTAATTGAAATTGTCTTTTATCAAAGCTACTGAGAAGTAGGTGCTATCCGTACTGCAGGTGCTCTGTCATGCACCCCTGATGGAAAATACTCAAAATCATCACTGAACTTCTCTGATTCAAGGGGCAAAGAGGTTTACTTGATGTTTTTACTGGCAGAAATTACTATTTATGAACAACTAAAATATCGATGATCATGCAGATAGTACAGGAGTGGGTGGTGTTCTGGTCTGTTATGTACAAGGCCACCAGGAATCAGAGCGAACTCAACAACTATTAAAACAATGACTGAAAATAACTGAGAAGTCTTGAGGTTGTAGACTTGAGAATTGTCATAGCGTTTATGTTTTGAATGTCTAGGGAGACAAAATGCACTATGAGTTTGAACGAGACACAACTCAATTTGCTATGGTGCTGATGAGGTAGAAAGTCACAAGTATGATAGGTAAATTCCAATAACCCCCAAATATTTATAAAACTCAATAAGAAAGAGGTAGATGAATGGTTTCCTCATGTAAAAGAAGTAGGGGCAGGATTTTTTTTTTGCCCCCCTCCTTTTTTAAGTTCTTAAGGCAGAATAAAACCAATCAGAAAGCCCTCTCTGACTCAGGAAGCAAGACTAGAAAGGAAATAAGATAAGCTGTGGGAACTGTGGCGAGGGCAAGGATGCACAGGCCTGGTTTACCTGACTCTGGACAAAGCAAGATGCTCAAGAAACAGCTGGTCATAGTATTAGCACCCATTTTTCAAATTTAATGTAGGGCATTTAAATCCTGAATCATAAGAACACCTGGGCCATTATCTTTAATCATTCATTTAAAAAATATTTTTGAATGTTTACCACTACTCTGACAAGAGCAAGGTGCTATAGGTGTTTTAAGGCAAATAAATATTTTCCTATTTCCAACATCAATTGCTATCAAGAGGAAAGATGAGACAAATTGCATAAATAAAGGTAATACCAGGTATATAGGCCAAAGGAAAGGTCTGAACATGGACTACATGGTTCAGTGATGAAAGAGTTCATGGAAAAGAACAACAACCATTTTATTAGTAAGAGGAGATCAACAGGCCCAAACTGTGAAAGATTTAGGAGATTGTACTGAAAAGGCTGGGGGGGTGGGGGGGTGGCAACCTTAATGAGAACATACTTTTATTTATATAGAAATCCTAAAGGAGGATAGGAAAGCACAAGGAATTTTGTATATATATTTTTAAATGGCTAATAACAGTTGTGACAATAAAATCTCTTTGTAAAGTAGGAAGTATTATTTCCTGCATTTTGCAGTTGCTGAATTGAAGAACAAAGTAGACACATCAAGCAACTGGACCAAGGTCACACAGCTAGAGAGGAGTAGTAAGGAACTAAAAACCCAGATCTTTCATCTTTGAACTTTGCATCATAATATAAAAATATATATATTAAAGTAATTTGGCGGCCAAGTTCACGACTCCCACCTTTATGTATTTATCTTATTCCATGTGCAGGAGCAACTTTCTCCTGGGTGAGTCTGACCTGCTGACCTTGCAGTTAGCAGTCCAATGCATAATCCACTTTCCCACCAGGGATCCTTAACATGAGATTGGCCTATGTTCCCTGCCACTCAGCTCTAATGGGGAAGAATAGATTCACTTCCTTTTGACAGAAGAAATTGTCTGTTGGAATCTGAGCTGCCATGATTCCCCCCTTGAGGAGTAGCATGGGCAGCATGACATGGGGTACACATCCCCATCGAGTGTATCCCCTGAGGTGAAACCGTCTCATCGACCCACAAGTAGACTTTGGCTTAGTGGTCCTGGAGTTGATGCTGTGTCAGTTTCATGGAGCTCCACAGGGTCTTCAGGTTAGCAGTTGAGCACCTTGATTGTGTGCACCACCCAGGGACTCGTGAAAAACTAATACTGAGAGAGCTTGGCAGCTGATGAAAGTCTTCTAGTAGAATATATATCTTTTTTAAAAATACTTTGATTGGGGTGGTGCTAGCGAAAGATTTTTAACAAATATCCCTTTCAGTCCACATGCCTCTTTCTCTGTGTGGGACAGAATCCCCCTCGGTTGCTAACTGTAAGGTCATCTGTTCAGACTCCCCAGCCACTCCACAGTAGAAAGATGTAGCAGTCGGCTTCATCAAAGATTACTGCTTGGGAAACTGCGTGCGGCAGCCCCACCCTATCTGACTGGATCTCCATGAGTCGCACCAGCGTAAACTCCTGAGTGATGCATTTGATTTCTGTGCTATTCAACTGGATCTCTCGCATGTGCCTCCTGTTGCCTGTGATCAGCATGAGCAGTGATCTTTGAAATCGCACCTTGTGAAACAAATAAATATGCCATTTGGATGGGAACGTGGTTCCTTTCCTTCTTCGTGTATAGTCTCTGCCCCCCTCAGAATTTAAAAATGTCCTGTTGTAAGCATGACCGTAACTCTCATTGAAATTACACGCCTGCATTAAAAGGCAAACAGAACCCCTTAGTTTTGCAAATCTTTAGTTTCTTCAGCTGAGTCAACATCAACAAAATCTGTTCTCTTGCTTCTCAGACTTCAAAAAAGTCAATAATAACTGATATTCCTTAAAACCATGTGTTACTCTTTTGGGTTTTTCCCCCCAAAATGTGATTCCTACAGCAATCAAGTAGGTCAAAAGCAGAAAAGAAATATCCATGAGGTTGGTAGCTTGGGAGCCAGGTGCCGGATGACGGCAAGGAAAATTACCATTATAAGTATGGGAAGGAAGGGAAGGTGTTTATAAAAGATTGAAAATAGTGCTTTGTGTTCAGATCACCTCCAAAAGCAATTAGTGCAACAGGGAAATTCTATTTAAATTAAAGAGGCCAAGTCCCACCTGTGTGTACCAGGGCGGGAAACAATACCAAAGGTTCTGGAGGCAGGACTTCTCCTTTAAAAGCAAAATCTCAAGGTACCATCTAATACCCACAACTGTAGCCCAGTTTAAAAACATGGAGAATAACAAATGCTAAAGAGGGTTTGAAGAGCTTGGAACTCTTATAAGCTGCTGGGGGGATTGTAAATATGTACAATACACTGTGGAAAGCAATATGGCAATTTCTAAAACAACTGGCAATAGAGATACCATACGACCCAGCACCACCATTGCAGGGCATATACCCCAAAGAAACCAGAGACAGATCACAAACAGACATATGCTCTCCTATGTTCATTGCAGCACAGTCCACAATAGCAAGAGTTGGAAACAGCTCAAATCCCCAGCAGAAGAATGGATTTTTAAAAAATTGGTATATATACACACACACACACACACTAGAATACTACCCTGTTTCTCCGAAAGTACATCCCCCCAAAATAAGACCTCCCAGAAAATAAGGCCCCCCGAAGCTACAGTAACTGGACTGTAGCAGTGGGCACCGCCACACAGCTCAATGTTGGCCGCGGCGCAGCCGGAGCAGACAGGAAGTGCAAGGTCTCTTTTAATAAAACAATAAACAATGTGTACCATATTCTTAATGGAAAAATTAGACATCCCCTGAAAATAAGACCTAGCACATCTTTGGGAGCAAAAATTAATATATGACACTATCCTGTTTTGGGGGAAACAGGGTATGCAATGCATCCCTAAAAACAAACAAACAGTGATGCAACCATGAAACACCAGCACATGGAGGCATCTGGAAACCATTATGCTGAGTGTGGTTTACCAATCACAAAAGGATAAATACTGTATGAATCCAGGCTCACCTCTCAGGGCACCAGTCTGCTGGTCAGGTGGCCCAGGGAACTCAGCAAGGAGCCTGACTGGTCCCCTGAACCATCCTCTCTCTGGCATATCTTGAGGGCCACCTTGGCGGAAGCATCCTCACATCAGCTGGGATCAGATTTTTGAGGGGCGGGGGGAGGATAGGATGACTACTTAATGGCTGCCATGCAAAGTTATGACAACCGCGCCCCCCCCCTCCCTGAATCGCAGACACTTCTATCAGAGTGATGGGGAAATCAAGCCTGGAAGGGGAAGGGGGCATACCGGTCTTGGAGGACCAACTTCCCAGTGGGGAAAATGACTAGTTCTCCTTTTTAAGGGCCCTAACAAGGGGACTCCTGATACTATACTCCTAATAGGTCACATGGAGTCAAGTGCCTGTACACTCCCTGGGGACTCAGGCCACGTGTCATAGCACACTGGAACAATGAACCCTAGATCTTCAAGGTGCACAGCACGCTCCAAATGTGATGTGGAAACCCACTAGATGAGTGAGGTTCTACCTCAAGCACACCTGTAACCTGAGGACTTAAGTCTGAAACTGCATGGTGCATGAAGAAGCAGAAGATGGACAGCTGTACTCAGAGTATTGAACGTCAGTAGGCAGACTAACATTGACTGACTATGTCAATGCCTTACTTGCTGTAATAAGATGTATATTATTATAAGTGTAACCTGACCACAACTCCCATTGTTCTTGCAAATAGTGTCCAGTCACATAAGGATTTATTCCGTACAAGTGAATAATCCATTTTTTGCAATATGTAGTTAGCCTAATTTTGTTCCATCTCCCTCTCTCAACAGTGCTTTAAAATTACTAACATCAATTAATCGATGACAATATAAACAGAAGGTCCTTTATGCTCCATGGGGATGATTGATAGGATGTCTCAGAGGTGAACCAGAGGCAGATAAGAAACAGATTCAGGAATGGATTTGGGGCTTGCACTTAATCTTAGCTCCAACCTAAGAAAAATTAGTTCTTAGGACATGGCCCTGATAGATAGTTACCTTTATGCAGGAAATACAGAAGATAGAGGTGCTATATAACAAAGTGATGAAGAAATTAGATGGTGCCCAACTATCAAATGGAATAGTATTTTGGGGTCTTAA